TTTGCGTTTTGTTGGGTGGGTATCTCCTCGACTTCTGTCTGGCACGCAAACTAACACTGGCATAGGGAGAGCCTGTACCACGGCGAGGATTCAGGCAAGGTTTACTCTTGGAATCTACCGGACTAGTTTGGGCGGCATTTCTTGGTTTTTATATGGCATAGAAGGATGTTCTGGATGTCATCTTCGTAGAGGTGCAATGCAATCTTACAGTCATCACTTCTGGCTCGAGCTCGTAGACTTCGGCTTGAGGTAACGCGTGTGGAGCATGCAGGATGGGGTAAAGCCAGGCCCATAGCACACAGTAACTCACAGATGCAAAAGTCATATGGCGGCCCACAATATCAAAGAAACAAACGAGTGAAGCGTGACCACGGGGCAGGTCTCCGCAAAGACCTGCTGCGCGTCGCGCGGCGACATATTGATCATTTGCAACGTATGATACATGCAACAATGACCGCTAATTTTGTCTGTCGTGAGGCCAAGACGCCTACGACTTACAGACGACGACCACGGCGACCACCCTGCCACCAATGTCAGATTCGATGGATCAGATCAACAAAGCAGAACAACGCACCTTGCGACGGGTAGAGTCGGTGGGGACAGGGGTGACGTCCTCAATACGACCGATGCGCATGCCAGCACGGGCAAGGGCACGGAGAGCGGACTGGGCACCGGGACCGGGGGTCTTGGTGCCAGTACCACCGGTAGCACGGAGCTTGACGTGGAGGGCGGTGATGCCAACCTCACGGCAGCGGGTAGCGACATCCTGGGCAGCAAGCATGGCCGCGTAGGGGGAGGATTCGTCACGGTCAGCCTTGACCTTCATACCACCTGTCGGCGGCGCGCATTAGGACAGTTTTTTTGACGTTAAGTCGAGATTCAGCGTACCGGTGACACGGGAGACGGTCTCCTTGCCCGAGAGATCGGTAACATGGACGAAGGTGTCGTTGAAGGAGGCGTAGACGTGTGCGACACCGAAAACGAGCTCGCCCTCGGCGACCTGGGGGCCAAGAGAGACAGTTTCTTGGACAGCAACCTTCGTCTTCTTGGGGGCCTAGGTGTACATCCGCTCGTCAGACTTCACATCCAGCGCAAAACGAGCCCTTCGCTGCTACTCCATGCCTCCAGGTGGCATCTGAGGGCTCCAAATGGGCTACTGACCATCTCTAACGACTTGCGGGAGGCTTGAGGAGACTTGCAGAGGTACAATCAACGCTGGGCACAGCGGGCACCTTAGCGCGGGCCGCCAGCGCGATTGTCACATGGTATGATTGTGACGGTCACGGTCACTACGCTTTGAGTGCACTGGCGCCAGGCGCAGGTCTCTTCTTTTGCTCTTTCCCATCGTATGCTGAATTCGTATCCGACCCTTACAGCTGCAGGCTTTAAGGTGAAATACTCAACAAGTGCCACTCTTTCCTATCTCCCTTCCTGGTTCGCTGTCCGGCTACCCCCAGACGCGTGCTCGCCGTTGCAGGCCGGACGGGATATCTAGTCGGCTTGTCAACCTCCAAACACTGGCTCCCTGTCTCTGCACAACCTCGGCACTTTGGATTGCATCGGAACCACCTTTGGGAAAGCAGTTTCACATTTGTCAGGATCGATGAAGATACCAGCCTGTGCGTGCCGGAGCCCGCGTTTCTCGATGGCCCTGGCAAGCTCTGAGTAGCAAGGATCACATGTGCTCATGTGAGAGAGGGAGCTATCTGGGAGCCACTCAGCATTCAGATACTTTCCGGCTCCTCTCTGTTCGCCTTTACCGCGCCCCAAGGTTAGGCTTCTGAATAAGGGCCGTCTCCGCATCCCTAGTAGACGAGCGTTATCTGTCTTACCCACGACACAGCTTCTTCGACATATGGAGATTTATAGCGGCGTTCAGCAGCCCTCTTTGGGATCTCATATGGATATCTTCTTCCAGATGACCCGATTACACCAGCGCCATGGTCCACCCGCTCCATCTGATATCTGCGCAGCATGCTATATAACGTCGTGCTGGCTATTAGGCAACCTCAGTTCTCTTGACTGTCTCGACAAATACCATGGCTCCCAACCCACAGTGTGCTGCTCTCGCCGCCGCGAAGGAGAAGCAGGGTGAGCGAGCACTGAGCTGTACTGCCGATAAATCACCATTAAGCACGAGTTGGCAGGTCTCTCCTACGCTGACATTGCTGCGAAGATCGGCAAGCCTGAACAGCACGTCATCGACGGTGCGTTTTATCGACTGTCTCCCGTTCATCTCTCGCTAAACAGTATCCTACAGTCTGCACTGGCAAGGTCACTCCTACCTCTGAGGAGTTCAACTCACTTGCTACTGCCCTTGATATCAAGGAGCGCGTAAGCCTGCTCCACATATCATATGCAGTATGCCGGCTCATTCTTCTTGCCAGCCCCCTCACGACGCCGCCCACGCTACCCAGTAAATCTGATCATTGTTATGAAGGGGTTCCTCATCTGTATCATAGTGGTGTTCAGAATCATATCGGGTCTGTAGCGCTTAATGCGAGAGGCGTAGCTGTACAATATGAACCGTGATCTCTCAGGCGTTCAACTTTAACGTTCACGTATAGACAGGATCATCCTTGCTCTTCAGTGCAGGAGAGCTCCGATGGCAGCTCGGAACGAAGGCGTCGGGGGTTCCAGCGAGTGCGACATCTTATCGCGCTCTCACCGCGGTCTATCGTATCATGACATTAGCCTTGGGTTTCAAGCTACGCTAAACACGTTCGCTATGTGCGCTGGCTATGGCTAGATTTAGCGCCATCGCCGAGTGTCTTTGTGCCTTGTCGGTGTGTTCGCAGTTCCTATCCATAAGCTGGAATTCCGAGCTCACTCCGATCTGCGAAGGTCCATATCGCTTAGACGCGTCAATTTGATTCGTATCGTCAAAATCGCCTGCCATCTTTTTTCCGCCGACTCCGAGCACCGCATGCGAATCCGCCCTGACGATTCAGCCGAAACGTACAGAGACCGACTTATGGCGATCGGAGACGGGTTTCCGTGGTCGCTTGTCCCATTTATGGCTGTGAGTCGCTGTACAGCTTGGAGGAAATAGCTATCGATTGCTGACGCTTTAGCTCTGATAGGCTTACTGTGAAGAGCTTCTTTGGACTTCTTTGCCATTGTTCTCTTACTTCATCTACCGCCTGCCCGAGGCTACGCACGTGGTGAAGGCTTCAATCACGAGTGTACATGACATCTGGTGGGAAGGATGAGCGTTCGGTGGAGTGCAATATGCCCA